CCCTGGAAACCACTGATCTTTTTACTGTCTCCGTAGTTTTGTCTATTCCAAAATGTCATAGTCGGAATCATATGGTGTAGCCTTTTCAGACTGACTTCTTTCACCTCATAATATGCATTTAAGTTCCCCCCGTGTCTCTTCATGGTTTCATTGCTGATTTCTTTTTAGCCCTAAACGCTATTCCATTGTATTCCATACCACAGGTTATTTATCCATTCACCTACTGCAGGATGTCAAGTTTTGGCAATTATGAATAAAGCTGCATTGAACATCCATGTGCAGGTTTTTGTGAGGACATAATTTTTCAACTCTTTTGCATAAATACTAGGGAGTACAATTGTTGGATCAGATGGAAAAGGAGGTTTAGTTTTCTAAGAAACGGCTGAACAACTCTTCCAAAGTGGCTTGTTTTGTGCTGGTCTCAACCTGTCAATAACCAGTGTTGTGGTAGATCAACTCTGTGGTTCTTATTGTTACTGCAAGTTGCCCTTCCACCACAGCTATCAGGAAACTTTGAAAAAATAAAAGTTTATTACTTACAGAATGTGTTAATTACATAGCACATTGGGGGCCACGTAATGAGGTTGAGGGGAGAGGGGAGGACATGGGCCTGGGGTACTGCTTTTACTAGGGTCCAGGTGGGGGCTTCGAGCTTCATAGGCTCACTCTTTATTGGTGAATTTAAAACATGATAGCAGGAATTTAAAGCAATGGAAGAGAAAGAGCAAAAATAAAACAAAAACAAGTAGCCAAGATGATCAGCTGTTGAGATCAACCAAGATCTCTAAAACAAAGGAACCCCAGTGTGGGAGGCAGCCTGCCTTTTTATCTAGTGGTGTGGCTGAAGATGTGTTTCTTTGAGATAGCAGTCTTTGAAATGGGTGCCTCTTTGAAATGGTTGCTCGATCATCAAAGGCTAAATTATGCATTTGCATTACAAAAAAAGAATAAAAAGAAAAACCTGTCAGGGCCTCCACTACAGGGCTGTACCATTTTGCATTCCCACCAGCAAGGAATGAGAGTTCTTGCTGCTTCACCTGCCCTGCAGCATCTGATGTCGTCAGGACTCTGGATACTGGCTATTCTAGTAAGTGTGTAGTGGTATTTCAACTTTATTTTAATTTGCAGTTCTCTAATGACACATGATGTATAACATCTTTTCATACACTCGTTTGCCATCTGTATATCTTCTTCATGAGGTGTCTGTTCAGACCTTTTACACATTTCTTAATTGGGTGGTTCATTTTCTCATTGTTGAGTTTTAAGAATTCTTTGTATATTTGTATGTTTGTCTTCATCAGATGTACCATTTGCAAATGTTGTTTCCCAGTCTGGCTTATCTTTCATAGAGCAGAAGTTTTTAATTTTAATGAAGTCCAACTTACCAATGATTTCTCTCAAGGACTGTGTGCTTTTGTTGTATATAAAAAGTCCTCACCAAACTCGGGGTCACCTAGACTTTCTCCTATCCTTACCTTCTAGGAAGGTTATAGTTTAGCATTTCACATTTAGGTCTGTGATCTGTCTTGAGTTAATTTTTGTGAGAGGTGAATTTTTAAAAATATAAATCACTTCCCTTATGACCTCCACTTATCTTTAGACTTAAACCAAAGTCCTTACCATGAGCTGCAATTTCTACCTGACCTGACCACTATCCACAGCTCCAAGCCATCATGCTACATTTCCCTCCCCTCTGCTGCCAGAGCCGTCCTTCTGTCTGTGGACTCTCAGAATTCGTTCACAGCCTACACTGAAGAGGATTACATAATCCAGACTCTGTGTCCAGCAAATAAGTTTGAGTAGTAATCAAATGAATAAATATTATAGAGGAGGTTGAATGGAAGGAATTCCAGAATAGTCACCTTAAACAACTTCCTTCACATATAGCATTTAGTAAGCCCTGCTGACCCAAGAACAGAAACAAAATCTTCAATTAGATGTTTAAAAAAATATATCCTGAGATAGAACACTCTGAAATCTGTAATCAGAGTAAGGAATCATGATTGAGGTATAATACATGACAAATTGAACTTTTAAAACTTGTACTGTGTTACAAAATGATAAATCTTTTCCAGTAATTTAATCACATTTGAACCAATAATTATTCAAAATATTTCAACATTCAATATTCAAAACGTTAATTTTCCCAGAATCATATCTTTTTCCTAATTTCCAGGAATATGGGTGTCTCTTATTATCAGTTCTGTTTGCCACCTCATTCTTAAATCTCCATTCATTTGTCATTTAGGACATTGTTTTGCCCAATTTCACGTCAGCTGCTGGGACTGAATTAAAGAGAGTAGTTCTCGATTATTGTCTCTTCATGCTGCTCTTCACTGAAGAGTCCTCAAGTTTCCCTAGTTATCCTGAGCACAGTGTGCCTTCTGCTACAACTAATAATGGCATTTTGCCATGACAGGAACTGAATGGTATTCAGATTCTTTTAAGTAAAATCAGTGATGAAACCACAATAGCTCTGCTTTGCAACTCATTAAGACACTTACTTGAACACTATGGCAGTAATATTGCTCAATAATATGATCCTTTTACTACTTCAGGAATGGATTCCAAGGCATTAAATTCTACTTTTCAATAAATAGTGTTCCAGTAATGTCATAACACAGCTTAATTCTGTTGAATAAATACAACTTTGAGTCGCTAGAAGTAACTTATGATTCTTTTCTAGGCCAATGTAAATATTACTTCATTATTATTCCTTAAATTGAACAATACTATGAACTTAATATTATATCGGGCCAGTAGTACATATTTGAACATTTGTATTGAGTGCTTACTTGGTAACGGTAGTGTTATTTATATCTTATTGGGAAGCTGTGTTTAGTAGTGCAGAAAACCAATTTAGGCATAACATTTCACATGGACCTGGTGCCAGCTAGTGGTACATGTCATATACGCCTTAAAAGGATGACTGCCTTCTTAAAATAACCAAAGACCACATGGTCTTATTGGGATCAAATTTGCTCAAATACTAAAAATATATATATTTATCTGCCATGTTGGTGAGAAACAAGAAGATGTGCGTAATAATGGATGTATGAAATGTTCGTTGCATGATGCCCAGGCCAACTTCTCTACAGTCCCGTGCTCCCACATTGTGCTGATTCACATTTTATTATGCTTATTATATTAGAAGATTATAATTCATCCTTGTATTTTACCATTTGTCACAAGATCACAAGATCTGGCAATTAGACGCAGAAATAAATATTTCTGAATAAATAATAAATGGTCTCTTTTTCTCCAGCTCATGGAAAGATATGCCTTCCCTTTTTCCTTTATATCATATCCTCATTGTTCCCATCTCTTAACATATAGAAGAAGATCTCTATGATCTGTCTTGCCATGCTTGGCTCTTGCTGAATCAGTAAGAGCTTAAAGAATTTCAGTGCTTCACCTTCCTAATGGAGTGAGGCTTACATGTGGAAGGTTGCAAGGAAATGGAGATCTAATAGGAAATGAAGACACTTTAATATTGCTTTAATATTTTCAAAACATTATTTTGTTACATCTAGATCAATGGTTGTGAATCCTGGCTGCATATCAAAATCACTGGGGGTCTTTTAAAAAATACTCATGCCGCAATGAGCCACAGAAAAATTAAATCAGAATATCAGATATTGATCAGTCTGATGCTGGTAGCTAAAGTGAGTTGCTCAGTGTCAGTTAGTAAATCCAGGTGGGTGCTCTTCCGCCAAGCAGACCATGGCGCTGAAACAGCTATTTCCATATAGATATGCAAACCAAATTTGTGATTTATTTAACATTTTAGTGCATTGTGTATGTGTGTGTGTGTGTGTGTGTTTATGTGTTTGTGGTATATATATTTCACATGCAACATATGTAGGGAAAAAAGAAAAAAGGCTTTCCTTACTTACTTCTGTATCCCTTACACTATTATGCTGGAGTTTTGCCCCAATGGCTGTGCTATCAGGACAGGGTGGTTTAAGAAAATGCCCCATGTCCTCATTATACAGAGAGTGAACCCCCTTGCCTGCCAGTGAGTGTAGAGAACAGCTTATTTCTGGAATCACACCAGTGCTGCCTTTTTGCCCCTACCCCTCCCACAACATCCCAACTGCCCAAAAGTCTTTTTCCACATTCACGGTTTCTCTGGAGTTGCTTTCAGGTATATCTGATGTTTTAGTGATCTTGCAATCTGTGGGAAAAAAAAAAACAAACAGAGAAACTGAGCAGAGTTGTACAACATAATACTTTTGACTTGTACCAGAGATCCCTATATCTGGTACCAAAATTTCGAAGTTGGTGAAACACAATCCATATAACCACTTCGTCCCATTCACTTCTAAAGACTAAGTGATATCTAAGGACCTTTGCAGATATAAGGTCTCCTGTATTCTTGAATCTTCTTTCTTCTCTTTTTCCTGATCCATCATCTCTCCTACCACCTCTCTCCTCCCTCTCCCTCCTCCCCTTCTCCTCACCCCCACCCTCTCCCTCTTTTCTTCCTCCTTCCCTCTCCTCCTCCAAATACAAAGGAAGCTTTACAACTCTCTATTTCTGTGCACCAGAACAATAAAAATTCATTCTGGGATTTGAGCCAGGTCAACAGATTGTAATTTTCCAACGTGGGAAGCAAACAGCTTTAACAGTGTCACCTCACGTAGAGAGGCACTTTGAGCAGGGCTGTGTGCGGGTACCAGCGGGGCTATGATCCACTTGATCTTTGGACACCCTTGCTCTGAATCTGTTGGCTTAGCAGCTACTAATGTCAACACCCACTTTCACAGGCAAGACCCATGCATTTCTTTGCCCTGTTTTTCTGGAAGTTACTTGAGAATGCTACCTGAAGTCCTTTTTATGCAAGGAGTGAGAGTATATATCTTTTTACTGGCTCTGCTGAGAGGATGGCTGTGGCCATCTAGAAGAGTTGCCAGGGACCTGGAAGGCAAGTCATTAATGCATGGATCAAAAACCTCACCCTCAAAGATTCCTTTGTCTCTCTGTTTTTCCATTTTCAGCCTGGTTGTGTAAATACCACTGAAGTGGACATTAAGAAGTCATCCAGAATGAGAAATCCACACAAAACACGGAAGGTAATATCCATGTTTGCTGTGCTGATCTTGGTATGGGTTGCACTATTTGGAGGACATCAGTCAAAAACCTTTTGCCCACTTCCTGGAGTATCTTCTAGCATCTTCCTTGCTTTTCCTTGTTCCTTGGCTAGAAGAAAATCTGGCAGCTCAAACCCTGGTCTTCTGTCAGTCCATCTGTCCTGAGGAAGTACTCCTATCGTGGTTCTCCAACACACACAGGTCCCAGGGCATGCAGGGGGCTGTGATGGGGGGCAAGGATGCTGAGGGCACCTCCTCTTTCCATCGAAAGGAAGGATCATCAGCAGAGAAAGGCTTCTCTTTCAGAGCCCATGGGATGAGGAAACACAGATGGAGATTATCTGAGAAAAAGTGATATTGATGAGAGAAGGGCATTTTTAGAGAAAATTATGAGGGGAAAAGGGACATCATAAAGACATATAACTACAGAGTTTGTATGAGGATCCCCTTTTAACACCAGAATTTTGTGACATAACCATAAGATAGTGGTCGTATGTTTGTTTGGTGTCTGTTATGTGAGAGAATACATAACAAACAAACAAAAAGCTATCCAGAATTCAGTGACATTTTAAATAATCTCTTGAAAATACACAGCCATAGTACCTCTATATTTTTTAAAGTAGCACATACACGCAGAAAGCATTTTTATTCATTCCATGAAAAACACTTGATGCACATAAGAATTTCTGAGCTGAGGACACAGACCAAGCAAGGTTGGCACCACTGGATTAAAGCATTCCACAAAGCTCAAGACCTTCCTTTTCATGGCTTTTTCCTTATGTAGAATTAGGGTTTTCCAATAGGCACTAAACATTTCTTTTTGTAGTCTTATTTCTTGTTGTCTTTTTCTTCCGTCCTTAGAAATATAAACATCATGAGGCCCCAATATGATCCAAGGACCTTTTCTTTCTTTTAAGGCAGTTTACCTTGATGTCAGGATAAAGAAGCCACAGGAAAAGTGCCACAAAACCACTCAGGTGCAGTGCTCCAAAGCTTTTGCCCCTAGGAGCTCTCTGAGAGGAAGAGGCAAAGCCAGACCAAACCAGGCGTGTTGGCCCTGCTCTCCTGTGACTGGCCTCACGCAGTTCCTTCCCTCCTCTATGCACAGCACAGCCTCAGGGCACTGGGGACTGGTTTTGTGCTGTGGAACAGCATTCAGAGCTGCAATCATCTCTCCAAAAAGCACATTCAGCCACCCATCACTACTTCTGAATTTTGAAGAATTACTTTTCATAATACCTCACTTTGTGTCAAGCTTTCCCAACAGACACCAACTGAGATATGCTCTGACTCAGAAGAGAAAGCATATGGATGGACAGATAGGACTTAAAGATAAGAAAGCCATCATTTACACTGTGTTCTTAGTGCTACATGGTACTGATGCCTTACCAGTGCTACACATGGCATTGTGCTTTTTGAAAACTTGAAAGGCATTAATTGGTAATGCTGTGCTTCACATACTATCAGCCCTCGCTTAATGATGGGAAAATACCAGGCCTAGCAAGGTGAAATGCTGTAGAGCTGGAATCACTGAGCTCTAACTGTCTCAGTTGTGGTCTAATTTCCTGTGAATCAATAATGGTAGAACTGCAGGGCCTAACTGCAGAGCTCCATAACCTGAAATTACCAGAGAAAAACAAAAATTCTGAAGAATGCTACAGCAAGTAGCATGTATGCCCTTGTCTTCAACAATTGGAGAATGCTGATTTTTTTTCACTTTTTGATATAGATAGAGATATAGAGCTTCTCAGAGTCCGAAGTGTTGAATTTGCTAGAATCTTCACAAATCATGTTATTTTACATAGAAATTTATAGGACTCTTTAAGTCACATACTGGTTTGTCTTATAGATTTATGACCACTGCTACATTAGCTCAATTTGGTTAGTAACTGGAATGACCCATTCAATCAGTTTTTAACAAGTCTCTACTTTATGCCAGGTATGTACTGGTTTTTAGATATTCGGCGGTAGATGGGGCAGGCATGACCTTGCTCCCACAGCTCATGGTCTAATGAGAGTGCACACAGTGAAGAAGCAGACAAATGTCTATACATCTATAACCATGTAATTGTGTTAAGTGGTCTATATTAGTCTGCTCAAGCAACCATAACAAAATGCCACAACCTGGGTGGCTTACATAATGGAAATTCATTTACACACAGTTCTGGAGACTAGAAGTCCCAGATCAAGTTGGGTCTTTGGTGAGAGCTCTCCTCCTGGCTTGTAGATAGCTGCCTTCTTGCTGTGTCCTCACATGGCAGAGATAGAGCTCGGGTGCCTGTCCCTCTTGTAAGGACACCAGCTCCATGGGATTAGGATCCTACCCGATGACTTCCTTTAACCTTGATTACCTTCTCATAGACTCCATCTCCATATATAGTCACATTGGAGATTAGGATTCCAACATGAATTTCAGAGGGATGCAACTCAGTCCATAACATGTTATCAAGGGAATTTGAATGATTTGGGATTCTAAATCACCACCCCATTTTATTACAAAAAATACATGGCAAACAACAAACTGTCCCACCGCCCTCTGAAGTTTTCACAGTTCTGTCCTTGTGGAGGGGGCAATTCTGTGGGATTGCAAGCCTTAGACAGAAATGGCAGAGGCCAGCCTATCACCTTGGAAACTGTCTTTGCCTTCCATAGCTAATCCGACTATGTCCTTTGCTCATTCTCTTAATGGTGTGACCACCCTCTGTTTTAAACTTCTGCTGGTAAGAAAGTGGAACCCCTGGATTGTAATTCATTTTTGCACACAGATGCTGCCCTTAGCAAAGAGAGCTGCTGTTCATTTCTTTGGCAGTCAGCTGTAATAATATTTCTCATGATGATGTATCATAACAAGAATAAGGGACCCAGTAAATCCTTAAAGCAGTAATCCATCACATGTACCTAAAGAATATCAAGGATTGGAATATTTATCAAACATATGAAGAGAAGGCTTAGAAGTACATCTGATTTGAGCTATTTTTAAGTATTTAGGATCAGTCAGTTTCCAAATCTGTCTTTACTAAAATACAAAGTAGGTGGAATGTATTTCCTTACGTTTTTATGAAGGAACGGTAATGTAGCATAGCCAGAAAGAAACCAGCCTAATCTAGGCAAATTTTAAGGGCCACTGTGTGCCTGATTTTCTTCAGTCTGTTTCTAAAACTTTAATTAAATAGGTCAGGCTGTGTATCAGCCAGGGTTCCCCAAAGGGTGCAGGAGAGAAGGACGGAGACAGAGCGAGGGAGAGAGAGAGAAAGATTTATTTTAAGAAATTGTCTCATGCAGTTGTAGAGGCTTGCCAAGCCCCAAACCTGAAGAGATAGGCCAGTGGCTAGAGTCCCAGGGAAGAAATGCCATCTGCTAACAGAATTCCTACTTGCTTGGAGGAAGTCTCTGTGTTCTGTCCAGGCTTTCAGCTGATTGAATGAGACCCACCCACATTATGGAGGGCCATTGGCTTTATTCAAAGTCTGCTGATTTACATTTTAATCTCATTCAAAAACATCCTCAAAGAAATATCCAGAATAATAATAATGTTTGATCAAATACCTGAGCACTGTGGCCCAGCCAGCTTGACATATAAAATTAACCATCACAGGATGGATCCTTCTATAGGACAATAGCTAGAGGAGCCCTAGGACAACACAAAACCTGGGGGAAATGAGAAAAGCATTTGTATGTTCATGACTAACCCCACATGTTGGATTGCTTCCTATAACTTCAGGACCCATATTTCAAAACAAAAGTAAGCTGTTTCTTGTCTCGTTACTTTTCTTTTTTCTGTCACCTTCATTTAGGCATTAAGACACTTCATATTTTACATAATAGCTAATGTGCACATTCTGGAGGAACAGTTAGGAAATTCATGATTAAATGTCTAGTTTTCATGCTTTTAATGCAGTGGCTGTTTATACATAAAACTGTTTATACAGAAAAAATTGGCATTTCCTCACTTGTATATGCATAATGTGGAATTTTAATTTTAACAGAAGAAACTACTCATGCTTTAGGGTAACAAAAGGGTTTTAAGTAAGAAGTATAGTCAAGTGGCAGGCAACAAACATTCTGCTCAAAAGAGCAAAAAGCAGGGAATATTCTAAACCCTTGGGAGTTTGCGGGGCAGAGTTCGCCCCTGGGGGTGACGGGCCCAGGGACTCATCAGGGTTCTCGCTCACTCTCCCATGCCTTCTTTGCTCTGCTCTCTTTGTGCACTGGTTTCCTCCACACACCAGCAGATGTGGTCCCAACCCATTGTCTGGTCGAGCTGAACAATTCAGAAGAAAGAGAAAGATCCCCTCCCTCCACCACCAGTTGGAAAAACCCCAGAGATTTCACTCCACATAGAAAGGCATAAAAGCTTCCTGTACTCTTTACTTTCTGTTTTAAAGCAGCGCCCCCTCCCCACCGCCTGCCAAAGATAAAAGTAGGAGAGCATTTTCTTAGACTTCTTCTAAGGTGTGAAGGGAAATCACATATGAACGGGTTTATGTAGAAAGTCAGATCTGTTTCATTTTATGAATAACTTACCTAGTATTCATTTGGATGGTACCCTATGTGAAAAAAGCTTGTTCAGGCACCCTGGATTTAAATAAGTGGGTATATTCATCAAGTCAAAGCATCTTGATTGGTAACTAGCTTTGCTAATGACTCAAAATGGATCCCAATTGGTTAATTTTATTTCCCCCCATTGAGACAATTTCATGTCCCTTCCTCTCCAGCCCTACCTTTTGCTAGCTCTACTCCGCCAGCTCTAGGCCAATATTTTAATACAGTTCCTTTTCCTAAAAAAATTGAAAACTTTTACATTTCAAATGATCCTTAGGACTTGTCTGCCAAAATAAGATCAATTTCCTTACCTCCTTTGTCCCTAAAATAAGCCCTGTACATAAAACTTCATTATTCATGGCCACTTTCACTGTAGCCAAGAATCAAATTTAAAAGCTTTCACTGGTCCCCAGAAAATGAAAGCCATTCTGACTGATGAAAGAGAGAACTCCTGATGTTTACCTACATGAAACGGAAACTCCATAGTAACCTCAGAGCCCAGAGCTGGTAGCGAGGCTGCTGGAGGGCTACTTTAAACACCACCTCCCAGGGATTTGGTTCTTAATGGAACTTCCTGAGCCTATGTGCTATGCATGCATACGGAAACAATCATAGAAATGTGGAAGCAGAAGATAGTTTATAGATCAGTTTATTTCCGTGACACCATAAAATGCAGTATTTTTCTAGCAGTCTTTTTAATTATTTTTAATCTTAACCACAAAACTTACTGTTAAAACAGTCAGCTCTCTTACCTTATAAGCATTATTTACTTGAGTATAGATTTTTATTAAGGACTTTAAGTAATTAAACTAAGGTAAACAAGAATGCAGTGTTCAAGCCTTAGAGTCTTTTTATTTTCTTTATCATAAATGAATGTAATACAACTGAAAAATTGTAAACCTTGGAAAATGTCTACATTTATTGTCTATGATTATTGAATAATTGATCTTTCATTTGCTTAATTTTTATTTTTTTAATTTTTATTGTTATGTTAATCACCGTACATTACATCATTAGTTTTCTTTTTTTATTTATTAGCAAACTTAAATGCAGTTAATTTATTATTTATTTATTTATTATTGTTATGTTAATCACCATACATTACATCATTAGTTTTTGATGTAGTGTTCCATGATTCATTGTTTGTGCATAACACCCAGTGCTCCAGGCAGAACGTGCCCTCTTTAATACCCATCACCAGGCTAACCCATCCCCCCACCGCCCTCCCCTCTAGAACCCTCAGTTTGTTTCTCAGAGTCCATCGTCTCTCATGGTTCGTCTCCCCCTCCGATTTCCCCCCTTTCATTCTTCCCCTCCTGCTATCTTCTTCTTTTTCTTTTTTTCTTAACATATATTGCATTATTTGTTTCAGGGGTACAGCTCTGTGATTCAACAGTCTTGCACAATTCACGGTGCTCACCATAGCACATACCCTCCCAATGTCTATCACCCAGCCACCCCATCCCTCCCACACCCCCACCACTCCAGCAACCCTCAGTTTGTTTCCTGAGATTAAGAATTCCTCGTATCAGTGAGGTCATATGATACTTGTCTTTCTCTGATTGACTTATTTTGCTCAGCATAACACCCTCCAGTTCCATCCACGTTGTTGCAAATGGCAACACTTGCCTAATTTTTAAAAATCAACCTCACCAGTTACTTTAGAATTCAAAGTTCAGAGATGACTGTTAGTAGTTCACATAGGCCTTTTCTGTTTCTTTGGTGGAGATTAAGTCTCCTTGTACTTCAGGCCCTATGCTCCTGTTATTATCTTCTTTCATAACAGTTATCACAGTTTTAATCGTGTGTTTATTTGTGTGATTATTTGTGTAACATGTTTCCCTCCACTAAGTTGTGAGTTCCAGTGGAGGAGAAAACGTATCTATCTTTGTTTACTTCTATATCCCTAATGCTCAGCATTATATCCAGCGTATAATAGGTGTTCAATAGATGTTGAATGATTAAATGAAAGAACAGAGGATGTTTAAGCCATTCGGTTCAGTCCTATTAATAATTAATTCACAGCATATGTGCTGATCATTGGGTTGAAATTGTTGCCTGGTGATAGAACCTGAGTTCCCAGAGGTTGAGATGAGGTCAAGAGAGGGCAGATTGAAAGACTTACCAAAGACAGTCTAAAATGGATGGTTCAGGTAAGTTAAAGCCAAGTCAAAATCTACTGAAGAAAGCCTAAGAGCAAAGTAATGGGGAATTACAAGGGAAAAACCAAGTCCATCCAGAGGGTCCAGGTATAAAACCGACAGGTGAACATTAAGAAAAGATAGAGTCTGAGTGAAAACAGGTCCAGAACAAAACACCTTTGAATTTAGAGATACTGGTGAAGTTGGTGATGAACCTGAAAATTGGCTCAGTTAAGCATCTGGATCTACCCTTTTCTGATTTTAAGAGTTTCTTCCAAAACTATCTGGTAACTTTAATTTTGTGGGCTCATGAAGTTTTATGTCCTTACCTCTCATCCTCATGTCCAAAGAAACAGTGCTCCATAGCTCATATTAAATCCTTTATTTTAAAATAATAATTCTTTGATATTAAAGAAAAAGTTATTTGGCTTCTCCCTTGAGTTGACATGTGAGATGTCTCACTCTCAGTTGAAGATTTTTTTGTCTTTTTAAGTCTCCAGATCTTTATTTGTACTTACTAAGCAATAGGTCTTTTCTTTTTTAAGATTTTATTTATTTGAGAGAGAGAGAAAGAGGGAACGAGCAGGGGGAGGGGCAGAGGGAGAAGCAGACTTGCCGCTGAGCAGGGAGTCTAACTCGGGGCTCGGAGCTCAATTCCAGGGCCTGGGATTATGACCTGAGCTGAAGGCAGACACTTACCAGACTGAGCCAACCAGCCCCCCCCCATAATAGGTCTTTCTCAAAAAAGAATATCCCTAAGTAGTAGGTTTGACCTTTTGACAAAATACAAAAGAAGCACTGGGGCATCAAGAATTCCAAAGTGAAAACTTTGGGATCACTGATGTTTGCAAAAAGCACCCAGTGGCCACAGAATGGCAAGGCCAGTATGGTGAGGTAAACAACTGAATAGCCGAGTTGGGAAAGTTGGAGCACTCTGGGGTGTCTTTGATCACACTAGCCGAGACTAAATCAACAATGGAATTGTTAACCTTGTCTCTCTCCTCAGTATTCCATTCTTTAAAACTCAAATTATTTTCGTTTTCTTTTGGCTTATTAAATTTTTATTCTATTCTATATCCACCCTTATTTTATTCTGAAATCAGCACTTATTAAATGTTATATAGTGTTGTTGTTCCCCAACTTAGTACTCTCAGTCCACCCCCGAATCTTATTATCAGACTTACCATGTTCTTTCCATATAATCAATTATTCTGTCAAAGTTAATAATCTAACCACATATTTTTTCAAAGAGTTGTGCTTCTATTTTATATTCATATGATATTTATGATAGCAGTGCCTTTGAATTTTAATAAGAAGCTTCATCAAATATGCAGCAAAACTTTGAGTTACCTTGCTGAATATATAACACAAAATTACCTTTTAGAAAGTCTGTGACTATAAATGGTATTTTGTCTTAACATATTTCTTTTTTACTTTAATATAGTCTGTCTATGGTTTACAAAATGACATTAGAAGTCACAGTCCTACCCACACACCCACACCAGAAACGAAACCTCCAACAGAAGATGAGTTACAACAACAGGTGGGTCTGTCTATAAAATGACCTGCTGATGGTTTACAGAGTATGAAGACTACCTGGTGAATGTTAATGGGAGGGGTTTTCAAAAAGTTATTTGTATGGTTGACCGTTTCATAGAGAAGAGTTGCAGTTAAAAGGTAGTGAAATCATTTAATTGTGAGATATGTAGTCACCTGGAAATGTATCACTATATGCAGATGGTTTCCAAATCTCTTCACTCTTTAATTCCCCAAATCCTGCGTCCTCTAACCAATTTTTAAAAAGGATGCACACTGCTGTTTAGATGCCTCCATTTCAAGAGTTATTTTGTACACTGGAGCTCTTCTTGAAGAAGGAGAAGACAAGAAGCTGGTGACACTGAGTCATGGGTTTTATGTATCCAGTCTTGTGACATGGTCTTCACAGAGTGCTTTTTCTTATTCTCCTGGTACTGCTCTCCATAAGCCTCTTGAAGTTCTCCCTTATTAACACTGGTGTACAGTTATGGTATACATCATGTCTTGTTTCACTAATTGATCAATAGTTTTGCCTCCAAGCCATATTTCAAAGCAAACACCAGTGTCTCTTAAATCAAATAATAGTGAAATCTCTTGATTAGCTTGGTCATGGGGCTTTTTCCCCTTTTTATTCTTTTCCCCTAATATGTTATTGTGATATGGTTTATCAATAGTGTAATAATACTTTTTCTGGTATATTTATAATCACAGTGAATGGAAAGTAATTTAGGGAGTTTTACAGTTTTCCATATATGATTAGGTCCATGTGTTTGTCCTGAAATGTTGACAAAATTATTCCCAAAACATGTATCATTGATGCTTTCTTGGGCTAGTACTAGGAAGTAGGATTTACTTCGAAATTATAGTACAAATAACACATATGTTTATTTTCTGAATTCAGTATTGGGGGTGATTCTGATTTGGTTATTCACTATGAATAAATGTTTACAATCTCTAGAACATTTTTAAAATAAAGTTACATTTTGTTAAAGCATGCAGAATGTTCAAATTCATTGCTGTTCTAAAGTGATATTGGCTATGTTTATATTCAAACACTTTAATTTTCAGAGCTGTCTCATTTGATTTTTCAGACTTTTGAAATTTTACTTAGAACATATTCTTATTTAGAATTGCCCAGTCTATCAGAATTTGGAGTTGAAAATTATGAAAATGTCACTACTTATTTAACTACTTCTTAAACTCTTTTCAGATTAAATATTGGCAAATACAGTTAGACAGACATCGGTTAAAAATGTCAAAAGTTGCTGATAGGTAAGTATTTCAAGATACCCATATAAATAAAAAAATTTCATGTGACAGTCAAATGCACTAAAAATGGAATCCTGTAAGAAATGTTATTTTGTTTTTCCATTTTGCACATAGAAAACTTCCAAAGAACTCTTCTGTTATAGTTTAAATGACAGAATGATCATTACTATCTTCAATCTGTAGAGATCCAATCCTATGCAACCAGTATCCGATATAGAGGACAATTCCGAGGAGTTGAATTTTTCACTCCTGCTGAGAGAAATGAAACTTTCAATTTATCAAGTTTCTTTTTGGCAACTTAGGGCCTCTCTGTAAATTCATCTTAACATTCACACTTTTCAGTTACTGCATGACTTCAGAATTTGAATTAAACACAGATTTTAGATATTTTCATTTCTTCATTTAAATCTGTTATTAATGGCACGCGTGTTCTTTACTTTGGAGCATTGTCAAATCCTACCTCTCCAACTTCTTTCCTCTCCTCTCCATCTTTTTCTTTTCTTTCTTTTTTTGGATACAGATTTTTTAAGAAATGTTAGTGCTTTGCCCTTTACCTAACTCCTGTAAATACTTTTGACAAAAGTTCCCTTTTAACCCGTTCTCCAAGTTGGCTAAAATCAATTCAGCTGTGGGTGGACTGGTTGACTAAAGTTTGGAACTGACTCTTAGCACTGCTTTTTACACACTGATGCCTTCCATTTTGCTTCATTTGAATGGAGGGGTGTTGCCTCACTTGGATTAGGCATGAGTAGACATGGACTCCTTAGCCACATTTACCTTCCAAGATGCACCAGTTGATGCGTGTAAGTTACTGAAACGTAAAAACTGCCATTAGATTTTACTCTATAAGCAAGCAATTCCTTGGCCAGACTTTTTTATATTGTATTCCTTATTTTGGGCTGGATATAACCTCAGCCAGAAAAACTAAGGAAGATGAAAATGTTTTTTCTCTCTAGTCTGTTAAGTTACACGGAACAATATTTAGAATATGACCCATTTCTTGTGCCACCTGACCCTTCTAATCCATGGCTGTCTGATGATACTACTTTCTGGGAACTCGAAGCAAGGTATGTGACATTTTCTCTTCTCTTCAAGTTATTTCACTTATTTCAGGGTTTAGTTGAAATAGGAAGAATTCTATAGCTGATAACTGTAAGGTCAGTTTTACTCTGTCTCTATTAGCTCATGATATAAAGTTCTCATTCAGGGTAATGGTTTTTGAACGTTAGATACTTGCATTTGTGTTCAGATTTGCATTTCCGGAGGACTGGCACAAAATTAGAGGGACAAGAGTTTCTGAACAGACTATTCAGAGTTAAGATCTTCAGTTCTTGAAACTTAGTGCATTGTTTTAGCTTCTTTGAAAATCCACAGGGCCACGTTCATTTTGCTGTATTCAAGCAAAATAAATGCTAAATCCATACTTATTTAAGCCCAATACAAGTATGCCTTTATAAATTCAATTTTAAAACAAAATGAACTTACCATAAACACTCTAAGAGAATCTGACAAGAGAACTGACTTCTTAAGAAAACCAAGGCACAATTTAAGACTTCCTGGTTTCCTTCCTGAGAAGGGAAGACTTAGATCACTGATCTTGACAGTCATGAAAAGAGTAGCACCTCTTACTCTACAGAGTAAGGATTTTGTACTTAGTGGCACTTCACTAAACTGTGTTTATGGACCTTTTCTTTCCTTTACCCCCATCCAGTGTTCTTAAATGTTTGACAAGTGCAAACTCTTCATCCTTAAGTTCTAGATTTTATAGATGAGGAATTTGGGCCCCAGAATGTTGTGACTCAGCTAGGATTAGGTCACACATTTCATCAACAGCAGACTCATAACCAGAATTGAGGCCTTTTGGTTCCCAATGCATTTTCCCCCAGTACAACATATCACCTCAAGACTGCATTGTATACTAGCTAAGAAATGAGCTTTGAGGTCAAAATGTCTAGACTATTGCCCCTTATTACCTCTCAGACATTGGCAAGTTATAACTCTCTTTGTTCCTTGATTTCTTCATCTATATAGTGAGAACATAAACAGTACCTGCTCATAAAGTTGCAGGAAAATATCTAAAAGAGAGAATCCATCTAGAGCACTAAGCACCTAATGCTCAATAAACATTAGATACCGCTGTTAATGCCTAACATATACCTCAACTAATTTCATGCAAAACCATCAGTCACAGATATTTTTTTCTGAAAGATATGTTAAAGATGGGAACTTCCCCAGTATATATGATTCTGAAGGAAATGTAATCGCAGAAGATAGAATTGGTAGTGAAAGGAATATATTTGGCTTTGTTTTATCTCCGAAAGCAAAGAACCAAGCCAGCAGAGGGTAAAACGATGGGGTTTTGGCATGGATGAAGCACTGAAAGACCCAGTTGGGAGAGAACAGTTCCTTAAATTTCTAGAGTCAGAATTCAGCTCAGAAAATTTAAGGTAAGACACATTGTTTGTATCTTATTCTATGTCAGAGAGACTTACTGTAATATGTCTGGTTATTTTGCACTAAATAGATCAGTTACTCTCTAACCAACATGATGATGATATGAACCCATTGAATTTCTGCCTCTTGATGGAGGGAAAAAAGCTAAAAAAAAGGCAAAGCCTGCCCAGCATTATCAATCTCTTATAATGGTTTATTTTTACACTTTTTCTTGATCTTTTAAGTATATAAATTTGACTCATTTGAAATGGACTCTGTAAAGAAGCGTAATACTTGGACTAATGTTTGGCAAATGAGGACTGGCCAATAATATTTATGCAGTTAAATTATCATTATTTATCAATATTAGTCTTCTTTGCATATTGCTTCCTAAGTAAGGTCTAGGAAAAGAGATTTGGGTGCCTATGAAAAATAACTTGAAACAAAACTATGGGGCAGCTCATTCACTTTGCGCATTTAAAAGCAGCCTCAGGGCAGTTGAGATCCACACCACACTGAGCTGTTAGTAGAAAAGGGGTGTGCATTCCACCCATCTGTTGTGAACATCATCCTTAACATATTTTTGAAATTTTTCTAACTTAAGAGGCACCTGGAAATTGAATTTTTAAATGTGAGACACTGCAATAGATTTTAGTGACTCTGTTTAAGATCACTGAAGTGAGTGATAACTTTCCACTACACAAAAATGTTTTTCCATGAACTCTTTCATTCATTATTCTTTTGAAACATGATACCCTAATTTACTTTCCCATGACTTATGCAGTCCTGTGAAATTCATTTACAGAAAGGTCACAGCATTCATTTATTTTCATTGGAACAGTACATACAGCTCCAGGCATTGTCACATTCTTTTCAGATGATTTAACAGATACCAATACCAAACCATTCAGAAATAATGTAGAACTTTGACAGATGTCCTGTGGTTTAAGCAAGATAACCACAGACGGAACCTGGAGGAATGTTATTATATATGTGTACTTGTCATGAATTGTTGGGATGTAGCTTCCTATTCTTTCAAGTTTATGGGAACCCTTTTTGACAGGGTTATTACAAGATCTACAGTTGCTAAGGATTCTTTTTTACATTGAGGCCACATCATCAATTATTGAGTATAAGAATGCATTAAAAAATAGAGCAGAGATAAAGAATATTTTTTAGCCTTTTAGAGGATGGGGAGGTAGAATTTCCTCTAATTCTCTAAGTTTTTAAATAAGTGCTGACATCCTTGGTATCATGATGAAGAAATAAACAAGTAGTAAGCCCCACCAGGGTCACCTAACCAAATAAAAATGATTCTAGTGGTGGATACAGAGAAGAAAAGAGATCACAACACAAAATGGTGGTTATTTAGATCAGAGAAGTATAGACGGATAGTTAACCCAGAGCTGGAGGTCAGCAAAGGCATCACAGGGAAAATGGCTTTAGGCTATGACCTGGATGTCAAGAGATAACCAGGCCGAAATTCCACCTCCCCATCCACTAAAAGGAAGAGGGAAGAAGCTTTGGGCAAAGGAAAGAGTATGTGCAAACTCTGTTTCAAGGATGAATTGAATGACTGCTGATTCCTTGGTTCAAGCCTGAACCATATCTTAACTCAATAATTCTATGCCATGCTAATTTTCGAGCTAAGTCATTTCGTATAAGAAATATGACATATTTTATATGTACATTATATTATAATTATATCCACTACTGCTGTAAGTATGCCATGCTATATTTTGTGTTTACTGTTTCTGATTATCACACACCTAATCATAACAACAAAAATGAAATGTAAACATTCTTGCCCCATTTTCAGATAAGCAAAATATGTCTGGGGGAAGGTAGTCATCTTGTCCAAGTCACATTGGCTAGTAATTCGCTCATGGCTTTCTATAAACCGATACAGGCTACATTCCATTGCTCCCCAAATCTGTGCCCCATTTCTTCTGCTTAGGTATCTGGTGTAATAGATTAAGATTCTGACTGTAACAGAACAGTCCAGTTCACTGGCAGGGCTAATTGAGCTTAAATAAGTCTCAGTGCATCTTATCAAGCAGCAGCCTTTAAGCACCTGCTCTTTACACACTGAGACACTCATATGAGCATTTTCTTCAAGTATTAAGACAGAAGAAAAAGTCAAGAAATACTGCTTATTGATGACTACTTCTTCCTCAGATATAACCTCTGCTATCCACTGGTGTGTTTTTGCTCATTCCTTTTTCAGGTAAACCACGTAGCATACAAAAAGTACTAAGTAAACATAGTAACATGAGTTTTGTTGTTGAGTGTCTAAAAATATGTCAGACACTCAAAAGTGCCTTTTACATTATTTATCTTATTTAATCTAATGGAAACCAATTGAGATAGACATTATCATCCCATTTTACTGATGAAAAACTTAAGACTCAAAGACATTAAAACACTTCTTCGTATTCCACCTACCATATATTAAGGGGGATGGGATTTTACCAGAATCCTTTCCATTCTACTAACTTATTATAGCACCTACAGTAAAGTCAAGAATAAGAAAGGTGATGATGTTCTTAGGGAGATATTTGAGGGAGTGATCAAATGCCATCTGAGTGGTCAGGTGAAGCATGTCATCTTCTGCGAATTATCCAGGGGCAAACCCTAGCTATGAAACTCATCCTACTTATGACACTCATAGTGGGCAACCTTAAAGAAGTGACTTAATCTCCATATCTTCAGTTGCCTTTTCTTGAAAATGGGGAAAATAATAGCACATACTCTAGAATTGTAGGGACTGCATGAGTTAATAGAGCTAAACCATTTAGAACAGTGCCTGCACTTATATATTAGGGTAGATGTTATTAGAGGTATTAATAACTAATACCTCCTCAACCCTTTATTAATTTGTCTGTACTTTCAAGTTCATTAAGATATCACTGCATCTATAACAGCTTTCCTAGAACTCCCTTTTCCAGCCCAGTGCTTGCCCAGCAGAAGGCTCTTTCTTGCTCTGCACTCCCACAATGTGTCATTTGTGCTATTCCTCAAGAGCCCCTCCTGGGCTTCCTAATATTAGGCAGCCATTTGAATGGTGTATCTTTTTCTCTAGTAGTTCTTTGAGGACAGAAAAATTCTTTTGATTAAGGTGTTAAAAGCATGCTGGAATGAACTTGAATGAGCATTGATTACAACATTTATGCTCCCTCAGATGGCACATGGCATTCCTATTAAATTGCACAGTGTCCAGGGGTGCCTGGGTGGCTCAGTCATTAAGCGTCTGCCTTCGGCTCAGGTCCTCATCCCAGGGTCCTGGGATCGAGCCCCACGTCGGGCTCCCTGCTCACAGGGAAGCCTGCTTCTCCCCCTCCCACTCCCCCTGCTTGTGTTCCCTCTCTCACTGTCTCTCTCTGTCAAACAAATAAATAAAATCTTTTTAAGAAACAGAATTGCACAGTGTCCAAATCTCTTGTTTTTGGAGGAAATGGTCTTGAGCCTTCCCTTCTGAAAGCAGTAATGGTAGTTTCATCTGTAAGGCATTGTCTAAATCTACTGTTACATATATGTAGTAAACAACAGTAAACCTACTGTTACATATATGTACAGGAAAATGATCTCTAGAAACTGGAAACTCACTAGATTGAGTAGTATTTCCTATTCTAACTCTAGTTCAACTGTTTTATTGCTTATTTCTGACCTTTCATTAATGCCCAAGTTAAAACTTAGTAATTTTGAAGGTTCTGTTTGTCATATACCTCTTAAGACTCTATAGCCTATAGTGACCTTCGTCTTTGTGGCCATTTGCCCATTTCATGCATGACTACATCTGCCGTTAGAGCGATAATGGTCCATGTTGAGGATAACATAGACCTAGTAGTTCCTTTTTCATGTATTTTTTCATTTTAACAAATTATAATGATATACATATTCATCTTTTCAACATTATTTCTAGTTCTAACCAAAACATATAACATAGAGCAAAATTTAAAGAAATGACCTTGCTATTTGCTCTTACCAACCAAAATAGGTTCTGGTGTTCTTTCCTTACAGTATAAATATTCTATGTAGAAGTATATAAAAAATATTTATATTTTTAGAAGTAAGTATGTATTTGTTTTTTCAGAGCTTCTGAATTGCTATAATGCCTCTGCAAATTTAAACCTTTAAAACAATGGCATGTGAAAGCTTGTTGCTTCTGTCATTCCATAACTCTCTGAATTGAATAGACTAAAATTAGTTACTTGCCCTGATTTCTCCATCTAGGGCCTTTTCTGATCTTGTGTCCAGTCCTCTTTTAATTCCAGTAAAGCTTCACTGTAATTCCCTTGCCAGGTAGAGCAGAAAATCCTCTCCGTTCCAACCCTCATTGCTCAAATGGACAAAAGATCCAAAGAATACAGTATAATGCCCTGCTTTATCCCCCAAGCAGATGCTCTATGTCACTCACTGTAATTCCTTTCAAACTCCTCTTCCTTTCTAAAAATGCTATTTTGCTCTACTAAAAATTAAAGTGTAAAGAATCGGGGCTCTGGGAGATCTGCTTTCAACAACAAACACTTAAAAGAGATTGTTTTCCAGTATTTCCTTTTGAAAACTTTGTTATCTTTGAATACAACTAATGGGAAAAAAAAGGCCATATATTGGAAGCCCTCAGAAAAAGAGGAGCTTCATTATTATGCATTATCGTGAATGGTATGGTCAGTCAATATTATAAGAATTCACAGATTATGAGGTATCACAGTTACTGCTTGGTGTCTCATTTTGCATAGATTCTGGCTAGCAGTGGAGGACCTGAAGAAAAGGCCTATTAGAGAAGTCCCCTCCCGAGTTCAGGAAATATGGCAAGAATTTCTGGCTCCAGGAGCCCCCAGTGCCATTAACTTGGATTCTAAGAGCTATGACAAAACCACACAGAATGTGAAGGAGCCTGGACGATACACATTCGAAGATGCTCAGGTTGGTATGTGGGTGGGCCTCACAGTATGGGAGCTCACAAATGTGTTCCCGGGAAGTTGGCATTTGAGATAGTTTTGCTTTATTTTCCTTTAATTGGCAGCCAGGCTTAATATTTTCAATTTAGGTAACCGTATGTAAAATAACTCCAACTGACTTAAAAGAAAACAGAGACATTAAAATGAACAGTTTCTAGAATCTGGGAATGTCTTATAAATTTGAAAGTTTTATGTGAAAATTTCTTGAAGGGGAATAGTTGAAATATTGAACACTTTTACTTCATTTTCTACTTTGTCACCCAGTATATGAGAAAACACTTATCTAATGATGAACCCACCTCAGTAGCACATATTTGAAATCTTAAGGTGTCTTCCAACGTGGAGATTCTAAGATTCTGACACTCCTAAATTATTCGTTATTGTGACTAGTCAGAACTAAACTGAAGTAGCTTAAAGTTACATCACACTCAAGCCAGTTCTTTGATGATACAATGAAATAATAGATTTAGGCATGTATGAATTTTCCAACTTAACTTTTTAATCTGTGAAGAGGAAAAAAAAATTTATATTAAGATATTAATTTCCTAAGACAAATTTATGTTAAGATATTAATTTTCTTAGTGATTTTTTTTTCAAACTGGACATAATTGCCTCCTTAGACACAATCTGAATTTCTACTTTCTCTTAAAAAAATTGTGCTCAAGAAGAAAAATTAACTTGAAATGAGAGGATATTGTTCTGCTGATGTGCTGAAATTGGCTTTTAAGTCGGAACACGCATACTTCTTAATTTTTCAGACCTCTTCTAGAGAAGAATATTAGTTCTAGAAAGTATCTTGTTTTTCAGATAACCACATTACTAAATAAAATATAGAAGATGAAGACTAAGACACACACACGCCCTCCCGTATTAGCATTTTCAGTGTAAAGTACATTTCTCCTGGCTTTGGTTTAAAGAAACCAGCCATGGTATAGAAAACGAACACAGGTTGAAACAGCTAACCAGATACCCATTCTCTCTGGCTCTGCCATGGTCTTCTATGTGGAAATAATTACAGGGACACATGAGAGTGAGCAGGATGGAAATTCTACTCACTTCTACTTCTCGCTGATTTATCTTTCTTTCAGTTCAAGATAAAATTTCAAGCATTTTTCTAGAGCCAACAATGTGTAAAATGTTTGGAATAACCTTCCTAAAATCTTAAAAGGAACATTTCTTTGTTATCTGTGGCATCAAAAATATTCTTGCTTAATAGGTCTTCAATAAAATGAAAAGGCATACTTTTCTATAGAAAATAACACCACCTGACCCTGGGCTTCTTTTTCATTTAAGTTCAGATATTTAACTCCAGTTTTTGCTGGGGTTTTAACCTCATCTTCAAAAATATAGTAACAGAAATTCCTAGTATTATTTAAGACACATGTGGACATAATAAAGGGTATAATAATGGTTCCCAACCTCACTGAGGTTTTGTGAGGATTAAATTAATACAGGCAAGCACTGGATGTATATTCAAGTAGATGGCATATATTCAAGTAGATCTGAGCACTTACTATGCATACCCCCCTTCTTTGCTAAACATATATCATCCCTTTAATTCTCACAACAACCTTATTTTACAGATTAGAACACCAAGACTCAGAAAGGTGGATAAATCTGCCTAAACGTGTATGTTCGTAGGTGGCAGGTCTTGAGCACAATAAGATCTGAATCCCAAAATGCTTGACTCCAAAGGAAGACATCACCCCACTTTTCCAACAGCATATTCTGATAGGGTCCCTAATGTACCATACTCTTGGAGATGAGCCTTGGGTTAGATATTGAGCAAGAGTAACTCCAGTTATTGCAGGTGTGTTTGAGACCAGGGAAACAGCATCATTTCTTAAAATATATATTCTCCGCAAACAAAAAGAGATTGGGACATCGAGGATACTCTCTGCATCTAACTGGTATTTCATTAGATTAAAAGGATGGAGTATTTATGCTCCATTGAGCTGCAGTGGGCCAGAGCAGAATCTCCCTAGATTGGGCCAGCTGTGAATTGTATGAATATTTTTTTTTCCTTGACTTCTTTGCTTACCAATATTCATTATTGAGATAGAATGCAGCAGACTGATTAGGATTAAACTATTAAATATTTACCTAATCTGTCACTAAAGGAGTTTTTTAAAAAAAAACATACAAATTGGGAGATTTAGCAATTAAATATCACAAAACTTATTTTTGGACTTGTGCTCTGGCCCAGAGTGGATATGGATGACAATTTTCCATATAATTTGCACCGAAGAGATGATTCATCCGGGCAGTCTGCATCCTCCAAGTATATGTTGATGCCAAAGGTATCTAGGATGATTACTTGATCTTGACTTCATATCATTCACTTTTGGCCTGGAATAATTTTAAGAGATAGCAGATTTATATTCTCAAATGACCTATATAAATCAACCACTTGATTTGAAATCACTTCAGGACATTCCATTAACTGAATTCCATTTTTTTAAAGGACTGGATGTGATTTGCCTCCTCTGTAGCTCTCAAACCAGTTCAAATATTGACCCATGAATAAAATAATAAATTTGAAGATTTAGATGTTCTGTAAACACCAAGTATTCTCATCAACCTTATATTATTAATTTTAGCTGCTTCCAGATTTGTTTTTGGGCCATATCCTATATTCTTATCACAGTATTTTATTTTCCCTGAGAAATAATAAAGAAGCACTTCAACCATTATTTCTTTTTAGGAGCACATTTACAAATTGATGAAAAGTGATTCATACCCACGTTTTATAAGATCCAGTGCCTATCAAGAGCTTCTACAGGCAAAGAAAAAGGTATTGGTTCTTTGTGACCTTTTTCGATCTGGTTCTCAGTTGTAATTATATGGAGTAGTTCCTTCTGCTGAGCCCAGGGTATTGGACAAATGGTAAGTGAACACACTCCAAGACCTTCCCCCAACCTTTGCATTTTATAAGGGCCATTTAAGATGTTTTTGTTTGGTGATTTCTTATTTTCTTTTTCGTTTTGTTTGTTTCTGCAGATGTTCATGCTTTACAACGTTTTTTAAGAAGCTGTTTTCGTGTTTCATGTTAGTCTTCTGTATGTCTAGCTTAAGGAAATAAAAATTACAATAGTGAAAAGGAAAAAACATCATTAAGTCAAAAACTTGAAGAGGGTTTTCTCTTTCCAGTAAGCTTAAGTGTGTTTTTGGCCACATACCCCATAACTAAATATAGACTCATATTTTTCAATGAGAGTTGTCAAAATGTAGTAATATTCACTTCAGAATATTTTAATTTGATATTTATCCTGGATTACTTAGTATCCCTAGGATAAATTTTACATACCTAAGAAGGTAGCCAAACACATTTTGGAAGAGCTGCAATAGACCTTATTATTCAATTAATGTTTGTAATCAGTGTAAACAATAAAGCAGAGTATGGAAAATCTGAATATAAAAATCAACACTATTCATTATTTTTTAATGTTAAAATAGTCCATAACTTCTTGAAATTTTGAGATTAAATTGTAATTTTGTGTGATTCATGACTGTCATCTAGGCTAATGGGAGTTTTCAAAGTCCATGGCCTCTGCAGATACCCTGTCTTTGCAGGAAGCAGATACCCTGTCTTTGCAGGTACCCTGTCTTTGCAGGTGCCCAGTGCAGCTGCACTAGCCACATGGGGTGGTTTACATTTAAATTTAAATTAGTTACAAGTACATAAAATTCTAGCCAGAGTTCAAGTGCTCGATGGCCACAGCATAAGGCTTCTGAAATATTGGACAACATAGAATGAAGTTCCCATCTTTTCAGAAAGTCCTGTTGGACACAAGTGCTCTACAGAATTGATGTAATCAATAGAAATCTAGTCCTGACCGAAAATTATGAGGAAATTCAGAAAATATTCCACGAGATTTTCAAGTATGTAGGATTTACACATGTCAGCGTAAAACCTTCACATATCTACTTCATTTTAGTGTCATTTTATTTTGCTTGAAACCATACCATTTTGTTTGCACAGGAAGAGTTTTGGTGTTAAAAAATAAAAGTACTAATAAAAACAGAGCCTGTGCCCTGTGTCTAGTGTCCTTCTTTGGCAGCTCTCCTACCCTCCTGGTCCCTTGATTTAGAACGTGGATTTGCTGTTGCATCATTTCATCGTCCTGCCTTTCTCCGCTCTGTTTTCTTTGCTTTCTTTTTATTTATGTTCCCTATTTCCCTTTGCCCCATCCCACCCCACTCATGTAAGTCGGAACACTCAATGGATCGCAGAACATCTTTTGAGAAATTTGCACAGAATGTGGTAAGTTTTGTTTTTTTGAGGAATTACAAATCATTAAGTCCAATTCAGAAAGTTTCCCAATTTCTAACCCCATCTCTCACCTTGCATCCTTTGATGTAACAACGAAAGTATTGCCTTTATTCAAATTCAGAACTTTGTGCTTCCTGCTTGTCTTTCTGTCCCAACTCTTTCTAGAGTAAAGATGTCATCCATGAAAAACCACACGTTATCAAACTAAGGTTTGGAAAGAAGTGTATATTATGACATATAAAATGAAGAAATGATATTTTTTGTATTTTTATTTTTATTCCATGTATCCCTTTCTTTCTTAAAGATAGTGCATGCGTTTCTACATGCTCTTTCTCTTAGCCTTCCCTAAAGCTTAAAAGATAAAGAACAATAAGGGTTCTGTGCTTTCTACTTCTGCAGGGAGAAAATGACCTAATGAGCAGTTTAAAGCCAAAGACTTGGTATGAATGGTGGTCAGTGACAAGATATGCCCCACCAAAGACCCACCAGCATGCCTCTCTTATGCTTTATTTTTCAGGAAGGTGTTGAAAACTGTTGCATAAATCATCCAGGAAACCAGTAGTTTTCCTACCACTGTTTTCTTAGTATCTTGCCATGTGTTTTGGTGATATTTTGGTGATATATTTGTTTGTGGGATTCTTTTTCTTTTTTTTTTTTTTTGTATTGTGCCAGTGCCTTTGGAACTTTCTGACGTTGTGTGAGCTCAAACTAAAGCCTTCAACACATTTATTTTTATAGGGCAGAAACATCCCCATTTTCCCATGCCATAAAAACTGTACACCAACACTGAGGGCCAGCACTAACCTGTTATGAAAAGAGGTAGAAAAATCTTGGTTTATACTCAAGTTTGTCTGCATTGTCTGTTGAGTTGTGTGGTTGGCTCCATGCTGCTCTGTGTGTGTGTGTGTGTGTGTGTGTGTCGTGGCTTTTGCTGTGATGGCCAGTTAAGTGGAGTTATGTGTGTTAAAATGTAAGCAAATTGGATTCAACAAAGATGCCGTTTTTGTTTTTAGTTTCCTTCAAGGATCTTTGTGGCGGGGAATGTTAATCACTTCTATTTATGAATTGCCAGTTGTGACTCGGCAGAGAGTATTTGAAAGACTTTAAAAAGCAGTATATACTTTGAACATTCAATGTGATTGCACAAATTAAAGGGCTGGAAAATGAAGGACTCCAGAAATTAATCATTCTATAAACTTCACAAAATTTTGGCTGGCTCTATTGGAATCTCTGACCTTTAAAATAAAATTTTCCTCAACATGCCTCATAAGTCACCATGGAAAGATAAAGACAATGTCTTTTTTTAAAAAAGCCTCAAGATTTTGCTGGAGAAAGTAGACAGAGGCTGTTGCACAGTGCTCTGTGCGATGTTTAAGAATTATTCCAAATTCATCCTTTTCTAACTCAATGCTGACAGAATATTTTTCTAAAGATTGGAATGGAAATTTCTGTGATCTAATTAAAAATAATAACAACACAAGGAAGATGAGAAAGGGAAGCGAAATGGTTGTCTTTCCTCCAACACCATCCCCAATTCTGACCAACTTCCCCAACTCTTAAAATAGCACCACATTGTCACACACTGCAAACTTTAAGATCGATAGGAAATAAGGGGAAGACAGGCTCAATCATCTACTGCCTTCAGTCAAAATTCATACAGGAAATGACTGCTGTATTCCAGACATCGTGCTATGTCTTGGGAGTATGTAGAGGGTAGAGACCTTAATTGCTAAGGAGCCTGATGATATACACAAGATGTTGTGACACACAGGAGAAAGATAAACTATTTCTACTTGGTGTTGGGGTGGGGAGGGAGCGCCCATAGGTAATGTCAGAATTCCCAGAGGAAGTTATATTTAACTAGACAAAGAGGATTTCACTAGGACAAGAAGGGCAACCATCCTTTTAAAGAGAAGGGGAGAAAAGGCTGGAATTACTGAAGAGAGAGAAGTTGAGTCACATTCATGCGTATGCACACAACATACTAAAAAGTTACAGATAATCTTCAGACACAGCCGTTCAGGGTTACTTTTTTCCATCCAGGAAAACAAAAAGTAGTATTTGTCATTGAATATTTTGTTTCTGTCATACTCTCAAGAAATGGAATAAGGAAGTTAGAAAGGCTCTCTGATTTCCTCAATAGGGTACCAACAATTATATTTATTTTATTAGTCATGAGAAGTAAATTTCTATCCTGAAAATTGTCTATATATAAAAATGAAAATGAATGTATTATACAACATTAAATCTTAGGATGGTCATTTCTATTTAAAATTCCCTTTAACTCTTCCTATTCTCATTTCTGTTTTATTTTTTTCCCGTGGTTCTGTGTTGTTCCATGTTTATGATTACTTCTGGGGTCAGCAGGTGTGTGAGGCATCCTAAGTATTCACATGATAAATTGAATAGGATATCTTTACAGGAGCAATAAAGTGATTCTAACACAAGATGAAGAATGAGTGATTTTATTATGACCAGGTAGACATAATGAAGGAAATATGGAGTTTAAATAAACATTTTAAAGGAGTCCTATGTACAGGTTAGACTGGTAAATACAGGGAGGCTACGGGACAGACGATTCAAGAAAGAAATGGAATAGGGAAAATATAGGTAAACAAGTATATAGACTCTGAGAGGAACTGGGCAAAGTGAGATCATAATAGCTCATATTCATTGAGTGCCTGCCACTGGACCAGGCTCTGCACTAGGCACTTTATGTTACCTAACAATATAATCTGACCTTGCAACTTAAATATTACTATACTCATTGTATTATATTATTATATTCATTTTATAGGTGAGAAAACTGAAGAGTCAGAGGAGATGCATAATTTGCCCAGAATCACACAGCTATTAAAGGAGCTGACACTGATCCAAAATTTATTTTGTTCCCAAATTCTTTCTTTCTCCATTGATCACCTTGTTCCTTAATATTCTTCCAAATGGTAGAAGATAAATAAATCCTGCCACCTGATGATATATACCTCTAGAGATATCTATATATCTATCATCTACCTATATACACACCTCTAGAGGTAGATAGGTAGATAGATGATAGATAGATGATAGATAGATAGATAGATGATAGATAGATAGATATAGAGATATATACCTCTAGAGTCTGAGTCCATTTCAAACCAGTGTCTATTTGTAGAAGTTTATTTCCATGTTCCAGCACAGTTATTTTCATAACCAGACTTATAAAAATGGTATCGCTGTTTCGTTTCACACAAGAATCAAAAATGTTTTGCTAGACAGTTCTTCCCAATACCATTGACACTTCCATTGGTTACTGAGACTAATACGCTCTGGCCAGCACCTTAGAGAATAATTATAATAAACAGTTAACAGTTGCATGGCATTTTACAGTGTTCCAAAGACACTCATTCCTTTTTGCTTGTTTTGTTTTGTTGTTGCTGTTTTACATACATGACAGTCTTGGGAGATGGCTAGGCAGGTGTCACCACCCTTTCACAAAATGAGCAAATTAAGGAATAGTGAGGTGAGGTTACTTTACCAGTATCACCCAGTTGTTGAGTATTAGAGCCAGGACTGGAAACAAAGTTTTCTGACTTTAAATCCATTATTCTATTGATTACTCATTTTCCTTTCATTATGCCCAACACTGGAGGGATAAGAATAACTTACATTTGTGAAATATCTTCACCTTGCCCTGTTGTCTCAAGACATCTCATTTCCTGTGATTTACTTTTTTATTACTTTGTTTTCCTTGCCATCAGATAAGACCTCAAGGGCAAGGTCTTTCAAGGTTTACTATGTTCTCTCATGCCTTTAAATGTTATTAAGTTGATGTCATTCTCTTTGACAAAGTTCATGTGCTGCACTAATTCTAACAGCTGTTTTCTTCCTCTATCACCATCACCAAATCTGACACCATTTCTCCAACCACTAGTCTCATGGCATCTGTCCACCACACAAACCTCAAGGAGAACAGACAGAAAATAAGAGGAAAAACAGGGTAGGAGGATTGATAGTCCATGCCTTCACCCAAAATTCATAAATCCTCATGTAAGCTGTACTACTCAGCTCCTCTCCTTAGTTTGTGTGAAGGGGAAATTAAATCAGCCTGGGTCTGGGCTAGAAAAGGAGAAATGAGAAATGGAGAGAGTGTTCATGTTGAACTCCCAGGAACTCACCTAATATAACCTCTTTTGGGGAAAAAGCTTACCCTTTCTCAGTGAAGCCCAGTATCTGCAGAGCTATAAAAGAATCAATAGAAAAGATATCATGACCATCTTGGTGTCCCATCTCTACGACTCTGGTACTTGTGCTAGTGCATTGGACTTGGAAGGTGTGTTCTGGAGATGGCCACAGATTACCAGAAGTTGTGGAAACTCTGTGGGAGAATTTTAACAAAAGCACTGAGTTGACTCTGAAATCACTTGATCTTTTGGGATGAAATCTTTATTTAACTCTATAATTGATTAGCATGCATATAGATAAGAATAATTATAAATATAAATCCTACAACTTGCTTGGAGTGTTAAAAAGTGTGAAAGATATAATACTTAGTTCTTTTAGAATGTTCTTTTCAGTTACACCTAATTAAATTCTTTTTTAAAAAATACAAATTCAGTTTTTATTTTTTTCAAGATTTTAATTAAATTCTAGTTAGTTATTGTACAGTGTAATATTGGTTTCAGAAGTAGAATTTAGTGACTCATCACTTACATATAACACCCAGTGCCCATCACAAGTGCCCTCTTTAGTACCCATCCCCTACCCACCTTCTCTCCATCAACCCTCAGTTTGTTCTTTATAGTTAAGAATCTCTTATGGTTTGTTTCCCTTTCTTTCCTTTTTTTTTTTTTTACCTTCCCCTGTGTTCATCTGTTTTGTTTCTTAAATTCCACATATGAATGAAATCATATAGTTTTTTTCTTCCTCTGACTTATTTCACTTAACATAATATACTCTGGCTCCATCCATGTCATTGCAAATGGCAAGACTCCATTCTTTTTGATGGCTGAATAATATTCCATCATCTTTATCCATTCATCAGTCAATGGATATTTGGGCTCTTTTCTTAATTTTGCTATTGTTGATAATGCTGCTATAAACATCGGGGTATTTATCCTTTGGGTAAATACTTATTAGTGCAATTTCTGGGTCATAGGGTAGTATCCAAAATCTATAAAGAACTTACCAAACTCAATTCTCAAAAAATAAATAATCCAGTTAAGAAATGGGCAGAAGACATGAAGAGACATTTCTTCAAAGAAGACATCCAGATAGCTAACAGACATGAAAAGATGCTCAACATCACTCATCATAAGGGAAATACAAATCAAAATGATGATGAGATGCCACTTCACACCTGTCAAAATGGCTAAAATTAACACAAGAAACAAAAGATGTAGGAGAGGATATGGAGGAAGGGGAACCCTCTTACACTGTTGGTGGGAATGCAAACTGGAGCAGCCACTCCGGAAAACAGTATGAAGGTTCCTCAAAAGCTAAACATCTAATTAAATTCTTTATCTGAGCCCATTATGGAGCTGCTGGTTAATACACCTCATGTAGATTTTATATAAGCAGCAAAATGTGGTAAAAAGAGCCCAGGCCCGAAAGCTTGACATGTTAATATTTAGGTTTGACACCTAGTCCTATGCTTTCATGCCATATGAATTTTTAGAAACTGCTGAACCTCGGTTTCTTTATCTATAACCGTCCTAGCCAGGAGTAGCTTTAATTAGCAGTTTGCACAAACATATATATATATATATATATATTATATGTAAATACAATGGGGTTATACTTTAAATATGCTTTTGAAACATGTTTTATATTCTTAAGTT